CCACTTATAATAAAATTATGCAATAAAATTGTGATTCTGTTGAATCAATCATGATTCTGTTGAATCATGCACTTGTCATAAAATATGAATAAAAGTAATATATAAAAAAAAACTCTTTTGTTATCTATTTGATGTCGTCTTTGATGTCGTCTTTGATGTCGTCATTAATCAAACTAATTACAAATCAATTACAACAGTACAACTATAATTACACAATACAAAAAATAATTACACTCGGACAACAATACAAAAATAATTACACGCGGACAACAAAGGGAGGTCACTTTTATAAGACAGTAATTATCGGGTTATACCCCTTGGCGGGTTCACCCGTCCTTCACCCGCCCTTCACCCGCCAATTTTCGGTCTGATTCATACCTACTACACTACTCACGCATGCTATTGTTGATAAACTGAGATTAACAGCTTGTGGGGTGCAGTAGAATTTGTTTGTGGATAAATGTTATCCTCCCCCTTCCCCATTTTTTTATCTCTTATATTTAAGGTAGTCATCCTCACAGTATTACCACTAGCATCTGCCTGTGTTGCTGTACACAGATATTTATTCCAACAAGGGACAATTATGTTGATTCCTATTAAACAAGTTTGCTGTTGTTGTCTTTCAGTGGCCTTTTTTTTATATTTCCTTTCTACTGATGAATAATGTTATTTGAATCTCGATGCCAATGACATTCTATACAATCAACAGTTAGTGCCATCCCGGTTCACTTGAAACGACAGTTTTAAAAATCTGTTTCAAAGAGACGCGCACTCTAATACAAGAGACGTCACTCTAATGCATTTGAATAATACTCGAATAATCGTTTTGTTAGCCGCATGGAAAGTGTTTGCAAGAGATGAACTATTTCACTTGTCCTTTCCCTTAGTGTCTGCATTGTTCACATTTCATATGATGTTTTTTTTTAGTTTGTTTGTCGTTGTTATTTTTTTCTTCAGAACCAAAAATTGTATTCAGCATGCATAAATTTTGCGTTGACGAAGTGTTATTAAGTTTCATACATATTATAATAATGCTGAACAATTGGATGAGACGTGCAGAGGAAATAACATTGAATTAAAATTGTGATCACCCATTACATAGCGTGCATAATAATAATTGCAGAAAACCCGAAGAAATTGAATTTAGCAATACAGTTAACAATAGGATAATTAACAATTGTTATTATTTTTAATTAATTAAATACCGTAAAGGCTGAATAATGTTCTAGCTACATCGTTAATCAGAAAACATTTTAAGGTTAGGCATTAAATTTAAAAGGACCTCGCCGTCCATTGTTTATAAATATTCAGATTTGTTTCGCTCTCATTTTGTGAGATTTTCCAAAAGATAATGGGAGAAAAAAACCTTGAAAAACATGGGTAAATTATTTAAACTTTAGCCAACCATAAATAATCGTTGATATGAATAATTTTAGCAAGCGAACTCTACCAAATCTATGAGTACTGAAACTCTCCCGTCTTGAAGGCGCACTTGTTTTGTCAACGGTGGATAGTTCCAGCCGCCGCGTGACCATACAAGGGAAATGCATTTTATGACGGGCAGTTGTTGGAATTGGGTCTCTCCATGGAGGAAGAATCATTCAAAGTTGAACAATAGTTTCCCTCAAATTTAGGGAATGTTAAGAACGAAACGGTTTGACAAAAGGCGGAGGAACAATCCCGAGAAAGATATTAAAAAGACCAAACCATGTAACTGGAAGGGTACGATGTCAACAGAAACGACAGTCCGATCTATCCGTAAATGAATACAACTTCCGGCGGGAACAACTCATTCCTATAAAAGAAAATCTGGATTCTCGCACACTATAGCCGGAAATTTCTAGGACAAATCGTCCTGGCTCACCATCTGGCTCCGTCAAGCATTGTCCAACATGTATTCGTTACGAACATGCACATATCGTCTTAGACAAGCGGAGAACGGACGCATCGCCGTTGTTCAATTTCCCTTCCGTTAACACAAAAATGCTTCTCTAACGGCCGAATTGAAATTCGTTTACAATACAAATCGGAACTTTATTATTTCGTGCCGTCTTTTTAAATCTCACTTGAAACTGTTCTGTTACCCCTTTTTTTTCCAACATGGTCCTCCTTCACTATGCCTCCCTTTTTTCAAACACGGTCCTCTTTCACTATCACTCAATCATTTATGCGAAGCAAAAGTAATGGTCAACGATGAATACTGTTCCTATTCGCTACAATAACTGCCCAACTCATAAGCATTTTCGTTACAGAGAACGGGGTGGTAGTCGTTGGAACTATACATGTTTTTATAAACGCGCGACGCATTCAAAATGCGGGAGTTACTGTGCATGTCAATAAGGGATAAAGGTTGGGTTATCAAAGTGCACATTATTTTCCACATAGGCCCAGATTAGTTAAGAGAAGTCTGTTGCGAAACAAATGTAAGGCTACAAGACGTCATGACGAGCAGTCACGTGCTCTAGGTGTTTACAGTGCCAGCGCCCCTTCAGCTTTACCCAGTAGGGTGCAGAGGGAGTGGCCCCAACCCCACTATTTATCTTTCTATGGAGGCGGAGGGGCGGCATTTTCGTCATGCTTCGAAGTTTTTTAACTGACAGCGGGGTGAGGAGAACAAAAAGTTTTTTCCCGCCCCTGACCACACTAAATCTAGCTCCACCATTACTTGCACCACTTGATGGAGCTGCTAAAAGTCTATTTTTCACAAATCGGACTTTCTCGTACACTGTACATCTATATATTATTATTATTATACGTGGTTTTATATAGCGTGGTACCCCAGCCCAGGGCTGGGCTCACCACGCTGTACATACAATTTAACAAACATAATAAAAATCTAAAATAATTAAATGACATACATTAATTAAATAAAACAAAACAGATGTATATTTAAAACTATTTACATCTCAAGCCATGGACGACACTCAGTACCATCGTTTTTCGGTCAGAAGTGGGAATCGATTTGTGTCAAATTTTTATGAACCAGAGTTGTCTCCACAGGTCAAGGGGAACGAAGCAGCTACTCCCAATCTAAGATAGGGGAGAGAATAAAATCCCACTAGCCTCCTTTTAAATTTCTCCAGGTAAGAAAATTAATATGGAAGGGGAAAAATACGAATACTCGAATTTATTTTAAATTTTAAAAAATTTAATTTGAATTTTTTGGGTGGGATGGTGGCATTATTGTTAGGAGAAAAAAATAAATTCTCTTTTTCTATTGCGAAAGCAAAACCATTTTAACACACCTATAGTAACAAAATGTAGTTGCACTAATGCTACCTAACAATACGGTGAGACGTGGATATCCGTGAGGAGTCTAAAAATATAAAATAAGATCATACCCAGAGCACCAAACCTCTGCACAGTCCAAGTTGTAGTTTCAATATTTTTGTTAATAGATTATATAGCCTATATTATATATTATATATTTTCATATTCTTCTTTGCTTTTCAAATTTCAGTGGTGCATAGGCTATAAACAATCTTTCCAAGCCTTCCGGTCTCCTGCAATGTTATATAACTCTTTCCTATCTTTACTTCTCCTTTGTCAACCTCTGTTCGCCATGTGGTTTTTGGTTCACCCCAGACCTCTTGACCATGGAGGGTTCTATACCAGTGCTTGTCTTGTTATATTTGGCTCATTTGGGGCTTCAAATAATAGGAAAACTTCTATCGATTGACGAATCTCGAGCGGGACCTTATCATACAAGTGATGATTCTATCTTTTTATCCCACAATAGCCAGGCCTAAACTTTCTTCCTTTAATGCTTTACACGGATATATGATTGTTTTATAAAACTTTTTTTTGAATATATCTTTGTTGAGTTTACACATCTTTGTGTCTGAAAAGTAAAGATAGGAATGTAATATATTATTATGATAAAAGGCTTTTAACCGCTACATTAAGTGTATACCATACGAATAAAGTGGAGGCGTCCCATATGCGTTGTTACCAATTCAAGGAAGACTTCCCCGGAAGAACACAAAGGTTTTCGTGAGGTGCACTCGATGTACTTGACCAAACATTTTATCATCTCCTGTAATGGTGTGTGTATGTGTGGGTCTGTGTGTGCGCGCGCGTGTGTCGATATCATCATTAAATAGCTGCATTAGTCACAAGATTGAAGTGATGATAACGATACATGTGAATATCTTAGAGATCTTCGTCTTGATAAGATGCAATGGAGTTAAATCAAAGACGCGTGCACAGAGGTTGTTGGTTGTTTTTTGTTTTCTTTGGGGGGGGGGGGGTTGCGGAGGGCTTTGTTGAGAATGAGAAGTAACTTTATAACTCAGATTAATCTGTACTTGGGGTTTAACTCTAACACTTAAAAAGTAATGCTTTTGATAACATGAAGCTAATTTTTTTTCCTAATAATTATAGAGCGCATGCCTCTTCAATAAAACAAGACAGCTTCCTGTGGGAGTGTGCTTTCAATCAGCTGATTTTCTTTTTAAATTGCGATTATTTGAAATAGTATATTACCAGGCAACAGAAAATGTTGTTGTTTTGTTCAAGTCTCAGTTGTGCGAACCTTATCAAATAGTGTTGCCACATTGCAGTGGTATTGTGTTTGAGCATCACTGACACACTCTTTTTTAAGAAGACGTTCTTAATGTGTAGAGTGGGGGGAAGGGGAAAGGCCATTAATAACAGCGTCGTCGTGTCTTTTAACCACGCAATTTGAGCATGCATTTTAACATTGTATATACTGGGTATAAGACACACCTCCGACCAGCTGGCAATAATATGTGAATTATTACGTTGTCATTAAATTCCAATTAATGGATTAATGTAGCAAGTGACCCAAGTGTCTACACTAGGTGGTCAGTTATTATATGGGCAGTCAGTGGCATAGCCTCATTAGGGCATTTTGCCATGTGACATCATCCTTATGGTCTTATCTAAAATATTATTAGAAATTTATTTAGTATCATAACTTTACCGGACTATAGTACTACCCCGGTACTCGGACTGTATGTCCATTTGGTCCTGTGTCGGTCCCACTCCGATTAATTAAACTGACGCTTATCAAGCTTATCTCTACGCCCATATGTTAAGCCCTTCGCCAGCCATGTCACCGCGGTGTATCTAGCATTGATTATCAGACAGCTTTCATTTGTACTTTGCCACTCAAGCTGATCACTACGGGGCCTGATTACGTTCGGTGATTGTTTCGTGTAAATTCTATTATAATACACGCTACGGGAACGCGAGGGAACAGTCAGGTGAGTGTGTATTATACTCTTAATTAATACTCTTCAATTCAGACCGGATATGCTGCTTTCCTTTTGGACATTGGTATACGGCTATCAACCACTAACTAACGCACATATTCTGATGAGGGTTTGAGATTGGCAATCGACTCCATCGGCTGAGCTGAGCCGTTTAACATTTCGCTCACGTGGGGCTCTCCCGCCGCTGCCCTGGTTCCCCTGAAACATCTAGGTACGGGCTTTATATCAACTAGAGTTTCTGGGACCAGGCTGCAATGCCGGCATGGGGTAGGGTCCCTGTTTTGGTCTAGCCTTTTGAAGTATGTGTTGATGGGACAGGGGAGCTCAACTACTTATAAGCTCTATATTATAGTGAATTTTTTATTAATTTATCTTTATTTTTATTTTTTTTACGGTTAAACCATGATTTGGGTTCTGTAATAGTAAATGTCCAGTTCATTATTTACACACCTCTCACTGAAAGAACACTTTCGACCACCAGTTGGAATGAGTGTGTTTTCCACATGCCCACATTACCATTATCTCCCTAACCGCCATCATTGAAAAGGAGAAAAAGCTTTTAATGCATTTCTAAAAATTTTTAAAGGGGAAGCAACACAGAAAGATTCACTTGCATAGAAGAAGGAATAATTATTTATGGTTCGCCCTCTCACTCCCTTTGCACACATAATCACATCCGCAATCACATTCACAATTACATTCACAATCACGTTGATAACACCCAATCACATTCACAGTCACATTCAAAGTCACATTTACAATCCACAATCACAATTTTATTTACACAATTGTAAAGTGGCGCCGTGTGTCACGCTATGTGTCACGCTATGTGTCACGCAATGTGTCACTCAGTGTGTCACGCTGTGTGTCACGTTATGTGTCACGCTGTGTCTCACGCCATGTGTCACGCTATGTGTCACGCCATAACACAGACATTCATAAGACAGAGTTTCATAACACAGACTTTCATAAGACAGAGTTTCATAACACAGACATTCATAAGACAGAGTTTCATAACACAGACTTTCATAACACATACTTTTATAACACAGACTTTCAACCAACTAATGCTGGCAATGAATCATGAATAAAATATATGATGAACATGTTGCTGTTACTTCAATTTGATTGGACGCCGGGTACTTAAGATTGCCTTTGGAAGAAAAACCCACACAGGCATTTTTTTTTTTAAATCAGTAAATGGCCTTGGACGAAAATGTATTTCATTGAGGAGAACAGGGCTTTTCAAAGTGTCCAGATACTCACCCTGTTTTAATAACTCTTATTCAGTAAACCTGGAGCACCCTAGCACTCAATTTAAAATCCATCAAATGATTTTGTTTCCAAGAACTAGGCCGTTTACAGCATCAGCATTTTAATCATGATATTTCTACATACACTATTCAATTGTCAAACGTGTGGATATGTTGCTTTTTTTATGGTTGTGTAATAATAATAATAAAAGTTAGGCCTGTTAGTTAACATTATTCTGTAGGACTACATGAAAGGCCAAAATGAAAAGAGATGTGCAGCATACATTTTTACCGTATGAATAAATACATTGAAACAAGCGCTAAAATAGTATTACGAAAGCTTTAAAATAAGGAGGGCCTATTGTTTTTTTTTACTGTTTAGGGGTGCAATTAGATGTTCAACAATATCATAATATCGGTGTGCCATCGTCAAGAAATTCTATCTGGCTAGCTGTTATCAGTCCCAGGCTACGGTTCGTCGTAGTATTTATTTAGTGGGTCGTCAAGCTTGATTTGGTTGCACACATTCCATTCAGGGAAGGGAACTCTGTCATCTCCATTACGTGTGATCACTCAACCGTGGATATATGTACACTGTCAATAAAGTCAATCCTCGGGGTAAAAGGGTTTTAAACTAAGGACAGTGTGCTGCTGTTTAATCTGACGTACACAGTACATTTGCCGGCACAAACTTTGTAGATTTCATATATCATGATGTTAAGAAAGGTAGGCCAAATTCTAGCTTGAAACAAAACCAAAAATAGTTTATTATTCTTTTCTTTTTTTTTTCTTTTTTAAATCTATAACCTCAGCGAGATTAATTTATTATTTTCACTGCTATATTAACATTACGTTATTGTAGTCAAGACGTTTGTGTTCAAACAGTGACTATTTTTTATTTAATTCCATAATTCACAATAATATCCAAAAGAAGAAATATATACCTGTACTATTTCAGCAACACGAAATATACTTTGTATTACATCAATTAAATTGGATTTCACAACACCTTTCACTTCAAAATCGTATGTACAAAAATTTCATTTACAATCACAGAGTCTAGTTGTTTGGGTTATTTTAATGTTGGCTGCTCAAATCCCAAACTGCCACAACCCAGCAAACACTCTGATTGGCCAGTCATTATAAATCTGGAATTAGTCCCAATAATCTGTACAATATGCACGGGATACATAGAAAATTAACTATATTATATCAGTTGTCTCACCATCAGTGGTTCACACACTCATAATGTTATCTAGGACAATTATTTTTTAAAAAATAATAAAGTTTGAGTTAGGGGTTTAAGCTTTTACAGCATTAAGTTCATTGTACGAACAGGTAGGGCCTACTGCCTACTGCCTACTGAGTTTTTAAAAAAATCTAATTACATTAAATCGAAATAACTAGACTCTTTCAAATTGCCTGATAGGACTAGATTACATTCGGTCACACTGGACGCCAAGAAGGCATATCCATACAAACTTGCATATATATTTTTTTTTTAAATGTTTAAAGCAGCAACAACTAGCAATAGCATCAAACGCAATCAGTGGCGTAGCTAGGGTTGGTGTCACCTGGTCCGGTAAGCTCGTCAACAATTTTCCGCAATTTTTGACCCCCCCCCTCTCCCCCCCCCAATAGTCAACAACTTTCAAACTTTCGACGACCCCCCCCCCCATTTAATTATGTCAACATTTTATAACCCACCCCCCTCCCCAAAAAAATGAATTATATTATAAATAAATTTATAAATACGTTTTACTTTGTGCTGATGTACTGTATTTTTAATAGTTTAAAATTGTAGGAAAATCAAAAAAATGAATTATATTATAAATAAATTTATAAATACGTTTTACTTTGTGCTGATGTACTGTATTTTTAATAGTTTAAAATTGTAGGAAAAACATTTTATTACATCTTTAACTTGTTAATTAACAAGTTGAAAAGTTTTCACACTTAAATTTTATAATGCACAATCAATTAAAAAATTGTTAAAGAATAAGTAAAATTGTTTGTGGAAATATAAATAAGATTAGTGTCAGTATAGCTGAAAATTAGAGTATAGTTTCCAGCTGCTATGATCTTCCCATGGATTAGGCAGATGTTGCTCAATCGTAACAATGAGCATCAGGGACATCATTTGGGTAGAGCAGGGGGTGTCTGCCACCCCCCCCCCCTTGATTTTGCTGGTTTTATTCAAATTGCTATGTACTGTGGCACCTCCAGTAATAAATAACTTAACAAGCCAAAAACGTTTTGGTTTTGCCACACCCCCCTCCTTCCCTTGAAAAAAAACAACCTGAAATGACGCCCCTGATGGGCATATCCTATAGTAGCTGATTTATCATTTTCGTCTTGGGCAAATGTTAACCAGACAAGTCAACATCATCTTTATCTAACTATTCAACACTTAAAATCGAAGCATTGTCTGTGTGAGCAATAGTTGCCATAAGCTCTCTATGTCTTTCAGTTGGTATAGTTGTTATTGAACACCGATGAGTTGGCTTGTTTTTGTTGTTTGTTTGTTTGTTTTTTTTTTAAATTGAACACCGTGTACAATGATGTGGTAATCATTCTAAGGAGCGGATTAAGAGAAAAATGACAGGTGAATAGATGCCAACTTTTGATCCCTCTTGCACTAACAAAGCGTGCTAACATTCTGATCAGCCATCGGCAGTGCACAGACAGACACACATTAAATAACTCTTATATTGTTAAAAGCCTAAACATATATGACTATTTACACTCATTAAATTGTTTAAAATAATGTATTAACCAGTCAATTTTTAAGATTAAAATTTTAATGGAAATTAAACATGATTGTTGACGTCAACTAATCTAACCCCCCCCCCTCCCTTGTCAACAACTGTCAAACATTTCCAAACCCCCTGCCCCTCTCCTATTTTGTTGACGTAATTAATGGACGCCCCCTTAGCCCTGTGCCAGAGGTGTAGCTGTTTTTATTCAAATCGAATGCATTTTAAGCCAAACTGGCACAATCTAGTCAAAAGCCAAAATTGCTTTTTATTCACTAGACTAGATGAAGTGATATTTTTCATTTCCTTGATAACGCTTTTAAGTGTTATTCCCTGAAATATATCTATTGGCATTTTTTTCAGTTTAAATCTAATTATTACTCGAAACTTGTTACATTTCTGCAAACATTATTGCATTTGAGGTTATCTAAGATATTACTTTATACTTCTCTAGTCTCTTAACACCTGGCACCTACAAAAATAATAATCCTTTCTATGATGCTATTACTGCTGCGAACTGTTATACAGTAAAAACTCGATTCCTTCCTTGTGTTTACAAATTAGATAACGTCTTAGATAAAGATAAAGATAAACTTAGATAATTTTAAACAGTATGAAATAAAAACAATTAAATTAGTTAAATTTTCATTTTACAAGAAAAATGGGTCAGCTATAGTACATGGAGTTAATAATTTGGTAAATGTACGATTTCCGAAGTCATCTGAAAACAAAAACATTCCGATTTTCCATCTTCATATATGAATATCCCAGTTTTAGTTCAGTACATTACATGGATGAAGCAACCTCAACGTACACTATCAGACTCGCCATCGGGCATAAACAATCTGCGGCTAATGTAAAGAGTATAGTACCCTGACATCTTTTGCATGGTTTGTCCCAGTGTTCTGATAGGGTCAAAACCCTGGTTCCAATAGGGTCAAAACCCTTGTTCCGATAGGGTCAAAACCCTGGTTCCGATAGGGTCAAAACCCTGGTTCCGATAGGTCAAAACCCAGATTAGGGATACGTTTAGGGTTCAGGTTAGGTTTAGGGATAAATTTAGGGGTAATCTACCACTTGAGCGTCGGCCAAGAAAAAATCCAGTTGTTCTGGTTGGAAGGGCTATTTAAACAACTATTCTTACATTGGAGTCTGTTCATATTTTTGCTTCCATATAGAGGCTATAAAGTTATATAGCACAATACTAATACATTTAAATAATTATTACTTCCAAGCTACCGATATGCCAGGAAGAAAAAGAGACTACAATTATTTTTTTGATCCAGATAACGCGGATGTCCACACACAGAATGTGGAAAACGTGAATGCTCAGAAAGCGTAAACTAAAAAGACAGTTTGGCACAAGAAGCGCCAGTGATCTTTCCCCTTCATATTTACATGGATTCATGTACCACAACCGTTTTCGTGGAAATTATATTTTTTTAAACTTCATTGTCAACTTGGGGGAGAACTATGCATAATTCTATTTTCACACATTATCTTCTATTTAAAAAAAATTGTTATAGTTTTTCTATTTTAAGCAAATTGTCTATGATAATGGGAATGAATACGTACAGCGAATGTCATTAAAAATAATAAAAGAATAGTTGTTTAAATAGCCCTTCCAACCGGAACAGCTGGATTTTTTCGTGGCCGACGCTCAAGTGGTAGATTACCAATTTAGGCTTAGGCTTAGGACATAAGTTCGCCATGATAAAAAATCACATTTACCTTTCCGTGACTAAAATTTTATTAAACGTACATAGTTAGGGCATAGGGAAGTTCACTCATCTACAGAAAATCAAGGGGCCCGTAAAGCGAAAGTACCAATATTATAAAATATTAACTTAATTATTAAGTTGTATGCTACTAATTATTAAGTTAATCAGTGTTTAAACTTTAACTAAGTCTAACTTAAGTAGGTGGTTACTACTTCATACACTCAAATTCAAATCTCAGACGCATGAACAAGTTTAAGTTGATGTTGAGACTTAGTACTGACCTGAGACTTAAGTTATAAAACAAGTGCAAGCAATACAAAGACTTAAATAAAGTAAATAAAGTTTAACTTTACAATCTGTATTCCACAATCCCACTTTAACATGTGCCAATTAAGTAGGCTTTCTGTGTCTGCTCTGTAAAGTTAATCAATTGGATGCTACTAAACATAAGTCAAGTCATAAAAGTTATTTGTAATAGTAATAGGCTTAAACAATAATGAATCAATAATAAACTTTTAAAAAATTCTGAAAGTAAAACATATTTATTATAAGTATTAAAAAAAAAGTGTGTGCATAAATTATGCAAATCAGAATATCTCATACGCATAAATGTTGATATTTCAGTTTGATTCATCAAGATCTTAGTAAATGTTCTAGGGGAGGAATTCTTAACTAATTTACAGCACTGCATCCCCTCTCAATTTCAAAAGATTCCTTACAACTCCCACACCTTACCTGGATAAATTATATTGTGAAAAAATTTATTTAATGAAAATATTTATAATTAATTTAGTTATTGTACTTTTATTTCTTTAAATAAATTTCTATTAAAAAAAAAGAAGAAAAAACTATGACAAATACGAGTAATGTAAAAAAAAAATTCACCAGAAAAAACATTTAATGGTGATTATCAAAATTTATCAAAACTATTGTTGTTTTTTTTTAAATGCTGCAACAAGTAGCAATGGCAGCAAATACAATTTTCTTCCATGTGTTAGGGGTGTTTCAAACCTGATTAAAAAACCTTATTCTTGGGAATTTTTTCTGACACAGGTGCAGTAATTCCAGTGCGGTTAATTTTTTGTATAGGACAGTAGTGGAAAGAGAGATTTTTTTGATAGGCTATTTGTGACAATGGGGGGCAGGGGGTAAAAATCTGAGAAATTTGAGTGACCTTATATGTGGATGGCCCCAAAGATGTGGTCACCAAACAGATCCTTTAAATGTCTCCTTTTAAAAACAATTGTTGCTTACTTCTTTTTTGGTTATTATTTTCAGATTTTTAGCAGTATAGAAAAAGAAAAGTAACTTATCATCATGGCTCAGACTGATCAAGTAATCTCACAAATTCAAGTGATTGAAAGTGAAGAAATTTTACAGCATTTTCATCCAGGGCTTTTGAAGCTGGACTATGCGGACAGAAATATAAAAGCATACATCATTGCCGGCACATTCCTCTTTGTGTCTGCAATATTTTCTGGATCACTTTTATTCTGCAATTTATTTAAAGCTTTTCGTGGACTTATTCTGAAACACCAAGTTTTTATGAGCCTGGCAATAGTCAGAGGTGCTTATGGAATCTTCGGTATCTTCATTGGATGTTACGCCATCTTCAGATCCACTGTTCTTGATCGTGATATAGTTTTTGGAAAAAATGCAACAAGCTCTTTTGCAATGTGCGTGACAGTAGGATTCTTTATCTTTGAATTATCAGCTGTACTCTTATCAGATGTAGCCTTTAAAACTTTCTCCAAGATGCTCATCATGCACCATGGTCTGGCACTGGTAGCCTTCAGCTTGGCTATTAACTCCGGCTCAAACTACTCTTTTGGTTGCAAGGGTATGATTTTAGAAATGAGCACACCTTTCTCATGTCTTTGTTATGTCTTTCTTAAAGCAGGCATGGAGAATTCCACAATCTGGAAAATCAATCAGTTTGTTTTGATCCACACATTCCATCTGCGGAGCGTTGTGGAGTGTCACCTTTGGTATGTCACCTACAAGCATTGGGATGATATCTACTCAAAGATGTCCACACCCATTTTTGCACTTCTTTACACCAACCTGGTTTTGGTCACATTTGTCATGACACCATACTGGGGCTACAAGAAAACTGAGCAGCTTTTCAACCCTGTTGATTGGAACTTTCAAGAGTCCAGAGACACAGATACATTATCTCCCAAGAGAAAAGCTCAAAAGGCAGAGTAATTTTTTAAAAATATATTTATGTCAGGTTACCTCAGGTGTCATTGTTACAAAGTTGCATTACTTAAAAACCACTTAAAAATTGCTAATAACATTTCTTCTTTAGAAGATCTCTTATTTAATCCTGTTGTTTACCTTAATTTTGATATTGTTATAATGTAAATAGTGAATAAAAATGGAATTTTTGTTACTCATAAAATATACTTTCAGAATTGTTAAAATTTAAGTTAATATTTTCAAAATTATAATGTATTTCATTATCAATTTTAAAATATCAGGGATATGTGGGGACGAAAGGAATTATTTATAAATATGAGTGGATAAGAAGTCTTTATTTTGAATCCTGTGAAGACCATTGCAAGTGCAATAAGTAATTTGAAGGAGATTACTATGCAATATGAATCACAATATGTCATTTCCATTCCCAATTTTGTGTACCTTTCGTGCATTCAGACTGTGTATTCTGATACTGATCTCTTGTTGGTATGAAATAGTTATTCTTTAACTAGTCAATGAAATCATTTCTTAATTAATTTTAAATGATATTTAATATAAAAGTTACTTTAAATTTTAAGTGTAATGTAGTTACTGCAGTCAGTAAATAAAGTTTGATATCAAAGAAATAAATTTTATACGTTATTTCCTTTTTATAAATATTGATTGTATTTTCTTTTAATTTAAAAATTAAGGGTTTCTTGTAAGTCACATATGTGTATCCAATGAAATAAGATATGTGGAAAAGTTTGTTTATATTTAATCTTTGATAAACTTTCAGACAGTTGAAATTTCACTTAAAAATACTCACTCAAGTAGAATTTAGTCTAAATTTGATATAGTAGTTATAAATAGTTTTTCTACAAATCTTTAAAGAGAAAAGCATTTTTGATTTATAAAAACAACAATAACCTTTTTACATCATGTAATATCTCAAAGACATGAAAATGTATATGAATGTACGATTTGTTTTGCATTATTTTCATATCGAGCTTTCATTCTTAAGTTTTATTTCAGCCATTAAGTTTGAGCTGTATGGATGTAAACAATGAACTGTACTCAAATATTTATTTTTTATAATTTCATTTCCATTTTTACCTTCCATTGGGCACAATTATATCTGTATATTTAATGTACTGGTCTCTCTGTTAAATACTCATTTTTTTTTAAATAATTAATTTTTAATATATTATAACTATTGTTAATTTATGATTTCTTGATATTTCCAAAGTTCAAACTTTATTTTACAACCACCAAACAATTTTTAGAAAATCCTGTTTCTAAATGAAGTAAATACCAAATAGACAAAAATTGTTTTCATTTAAAATAATTGCATTAATTTTGCAACATTTAACTTCAGTGTAAGTTAGATCAAATTTTCAAAACTGCACAAATGGTACAAGTATATTTCAATACCAGGTATTGACTTTGTAAAACTAGTCAGTAGGGTGTTTCTTCTTACTTACTAATTTAACTTAAACTATTTTTGGTGTTTTTTTTAAAAAGTGCTTAGTGTGTTTTTTAAATATTTTTTTAATTACACTTACAAATACATATTAGTAAACATGTCTCAAATTCCCACTCAACCAAAAATTTTAATTTTCATAATTTTTTATGAAAGTCTATAAATGAATTTTAATGAGATTATACATAACAATTATGGATTTTTCCCTTGAGCTTCCAACATAAAATAATTAACTGGTGATTAGTTGGTCATTCATCGTTAAGTTTTCACTCAGCAGAAACTTCTGCAATTATTTATACTGGTGTTTCCACCTGAAATATATTGATCCTGAAGTAATTTCAATCGTATTACGGTGTATTAAGAAATCTATAAACTGACATACATAAAAACAATAAATTCTTTTTGTGTTGTTTTTTTTTCTTTGTGTTGGAAAGATGTCAGTTAAACTTTTTGCGGCAAGTGATGTGCTCTGTGTTTATTTTGCTAAACTTTAAACTTAAAGCTGTTTAATTATAAACGGTTAATGGATTATCATATCTAGTATTCAACTTATTGTAAAACTTATGTCAGATTTTTATTGCAGTCACTGTCAGTAATTAAATCTGAGCAGATTGATGATTTTGTTAATTATTGTTTTGTTTCTTTTCCATGAATCATTCTATATTGATAAATACAATATGCCACTGTTAGAATCAATTATTTGCTGCTATAGTATCAGTAAATAAATAAAAATATTATTTTTTAAAAGCTTTCTTTTTTTTTTTTTAGTACATTTATCTTTTGTTTCTTGAACTTGAATGCTCCATATAATACATTAGTCCATTGGATATGCACTTGGTTCACTCGAAAAAGCCATTAATTATTTACTATATGAAATAAGTCTTTTGGATCCCGTTTCACAGGATATCTTGATGTCTGTTTCCACTTAACTTCAAAACTGAAAATGTAATTGTTTCAATATCACATTTATTGTGATATAAAATTTTCAGATGTTTAACTCTTTCAGTGCTTTAAAAGACAATCACGGTGTTAAGGCTTTCAAACATTACGAGAGAAGGAGACGAGGGTTTCCAGGCATTATGTTAACCTATGCAAAATATTTGTTTCTGCTCATCAAAAGTAACAATGCCCCTCCATGCATTAGCTTGTTACTCTGATTCTAATGTTGTCTCTGGATTGACGTTTAATATTCATCATCATTTTCCTTTCAAATGAAATGAATATCATTATTATTTTCATGTTTTTGCCTGCCCTTTTCACAAAGGCCAAAATATAATTAAGATTTCAGAAAGGTTACATATTTAAATTAATTTAAGTGATAGTGATATAAATGTGTTAAAGTGGAAGCTGGATGGTGACAAATGTCAACACATTACACTTTAATCTGATAAGAAGCAAATGATAACATTAACACATGTGATTAGATTGTGTCCCTCGTGATACATTCTTTAAAAATTATATTATGGAATCAATGGTTGGTATTTATCACCTTACAACAGAACAGTGATTATGACATTAAAAATGTATTAATTTTAACGAACATTATAAAGTGTGAGGACATCTCGTACAGGGAAAGAGATGGTGTTGTAGAATATGGTGGCAACAACATTAGTTGTGTCAAAGCATCCATGGGTGATGCATGAGTTTATGCCCAATATTACAATGTTGTTATCTCTGTGTTTCTTTTTCTCTCTGTCCCACTGTATATATCCCTCTCTCTTTCCGCTCCTCTCTCTCCCCTTCTCTCTAACACATCTATCCATCCATTTATCCAACATGTACTCAAGTTTTTAAAATGTAAATATTGAACACAGACTAAATCCTTGCCGCTTCATTGCACTTGGTATTCTATTTACTTTTCTGAAATACCCTCAATATTTCTGGGTTCCTTGCATTCGTTCAAGTGAACATGAAAATTCTCTCTAATCATTTCTTACTCATCCAATCCAGACATATTGCATTAGAAATTTTGAGGTAGGACATGAAGGTGATGGAGCTGAACTTATAATAGACAAAAGGACTTTTCAAGATAATAATTAATTTTAGGCCTAAACATTACCTCTATTTTTTCATTAAAATAAGGTCGAACCTTTTTAATTATTTTTTATACAATGATTTAATAATAAGGTTACAATAAAATTATGTACAGAAGCAAACTGACAGAGATTTAAAATATGTAGCACAAGTTTTTAAAATACAAATGGACTTCAAATTTAGAATATTTGCTGACAAGGTAAAGCAACACTTTATTGTGATTGCTTTTTAGCAGTTTTAACAATATCTTTTTTTTTCTCCCCATATAACTTGTCAATCTAATTGGTATTTAAAACAATTTAGCTTTTCAATAAATGAGTAATTTTAATACATTCACAAAGGCATGGTTTTTTTTTAGTACATAAATTTCAAACCTGATGATAGCTGATTTTTTACTAGACTTCTCTTAAATATATAGCCTAAACATTAATATATTTTTTTTAAAGTCTACTACAAGAAATTTGTAAATCAATATATGCTAACTTATCTTTTTATTGTAGTAGAATTAAAAATTCAAGTGAAAATAATGAATATTAATTTTTTTTTAAATAACCATTTCTGCCAATAAAATCCACCTGTATTAAAAAAGACAAACATAAAATTCATAAATACAATTCTCATGTTACATATAATAAAGGAGAAAGCCTAAATACAAGTTAAACATTTCCACACACAAAGCTAAACATAATTACTCATGATTAAAGGTTCTCATGCTTAAATAAATGAAATACACATACTTTATTATATCACTTTATACATATAATAAATTAACTATGAATAACATCAACTAATAAAACCTCACATTTACAATTTAAGTGGCTGGACAAGGAGTTTATTGAGACACAGGGTGTGAATGCTGACCATCTGGGGCTGCCAGCAAATCCAAATGGCTACAGAAGCCTTCCTGACCTTTGGGATAAACAGGCTGTATAATACAATATTATCGTGCACTTGTATAAATTAAATTTCATAAATTTATCATGCAAATATGTTTAATGCGTTTCATAATTGCCTCTCAGATTTGAGGCTTGAGCTGTTCTTTTTATGTTTATAATTTAAACAGCCAGCAAAATAAACTAAAACAGCAGCTAAATATTAATTACTGTCGCACTGACTCAAGAAATATCATCATCATCAAACAAATCTGCCACCATAGCAGAGTCTGTTAGAAACTCTCCATGGACAAATAGTTTGTGTTTCAAGTCAATATTGTCTTCATCAATCAAGTCATTTTCATTGGTGTTGGTGAGGAGCATTGTTTTGGCCTGTTTGTTTTCTGTCACTTTTGATGAAATTATGCTCAGTTGGCAGGAGACCTCATCCAAAACTATAGCAAGGGAAGTAATCTTACTCTTTTCAGTTTTGTCATCAGTAGGTTGTCCAGTGTGGACTAATCTAGGATGGATTCTCTGTTGGAGCAAATAAATTGGTCTTATGTCAGATGTTAACTTAAGACACATTTCTTTTTCTCCTATTTATTTCATTTGTTGAATTATATTGGCAATAGAATATGTATTTAATTTTCTTTCTAGTCTAAAATTTTATGAGTGCTAGATTACATCACCTTTTTTAATGACAATTTAAAATTTCCCCAAGCACTAAAATCAGTCTTCATGACATCCAAAAACAAATGATTTCACTTATTTTTGCCGCAAAAAAATTACAAATATTTAAAAAACAAACACTTTGAAGACAAAGACAGGTATATAATATTATTTTAATTCTTACCCTGTGGTGCTTCAATGACAGGGCTAAAAATTCTATGGGGTCTCTAGGCCTAGTCTCTATCAAATGAGCTAAGTTCTGAATAAGGCATGATGACAGTTCTTGAAGATAATGGGAATCTGTTGATTCAACAACAATAGTTTTTTTTTGTTTATTACTGGTACAAATTTTTTAAAAAAGATTGTTTGATAATTAAAATGGCATGCTTCTGATTCGCATACCTTAATTTTGCAATCAAGTGGACCATTCAGAAAGTAGATAGATGGTATGATTAGTATAAAATGATCAACTTAATGGTGATTTTACTTACCATTAAATAATGGATTCATTACTTGTTTAAATCCATTAACTTATTCATTAGATACATAATATCTTCCATATTGTATGTGAAGGATATGATCATGACTTTGTTTGGCTGCAATTATAAATAAACAATTAAAATATTGATAAATTTATAGTCTGATAATATAATTAAACAGGTCTTACATTTTGGATCCCCATATGGTGGTATATGTAGATATGTTTTTATTATTTTGATGAAAGTTAGAGTTTCTAAGGTCAAGGTTACACAATTGGTGACATATTTGTGTATGTCTAATGTTCTATTTAAATGTATTCTTTTTTTTTTTAAATCCTGATCTTTATCAACATCATCATCATCATATTTTTAAAAAAAAAGATTTTTTTTAAAAAAAGAAGAAAAAGAAAGAAAATGCAAGAAATAAACAAAAGTTATCTCTGTTGAATTGCTGTTTTGTATTTTTACGATGTTCAGCAAGCTACACTAAGCAAAGCATACAGTGCCTTCTACGCTGTGTTTCTTTCAGAAATTTTCCCCCTGGGGGGTGGGGCACTTCAGATTTTTCGGGGGGGGGGGGGGGCATGGGGGGGCAGAGATATAGCTGCAAGAAACCCTGCTTCTACGTTGTTATAAGTTTGAAGAATGTTTCCTGACAAAACATTATTTGAAATATGAACATGCGGTTGCGGTCTGCCAGCCATGGCATTGTTTATTTTATATTATTACAAGCAATAATTAGTTTGCAAACAAAATTTGCAGTAAAAAGTATGTAACCAAATATAGGCGGCTATTAGGCTGGCAGCCGGACACTTTCTAATGAAAACGATTTTATTTTTAATTTGCGACTGCCGTTCTGAGGAGTACCTAAATTTTAATTTTACCCCATTAGCTTTGCATTTTTTCCCTTGATATTTTCATTTAATTTAAGCTTAAAATATAAAAGTAAATTGATTTTTTTTTTATTAATATATTTTTTAATTATCATATTTTGTAATCTTCCACACTTATGAAAAACAAAACTGTCAATCCTAGATGTGTGGGGCTTAATATTTATCTTTTTTTAAATTGAGTCTAGAACTTGAATAGTCAAAGTAAAATAGTAACTGTTCTGTTTGAGTTTAAGCACTAAAATTAATATCAATAAATTATAAAAACAGACTCCCTTGGTCTTGGAGTCCCTGTGAGTGTTTATTTCACCTCTCGAATTTTATATTTGTAGCTATTTTCCTTCTCCATTCAGTTGAGCTTGAGGGAAATGAACTGCCTGCCTTAGACTTCACTTAGTGTGAATTAGGCTTAGCCGTGCCGTTAGGTTAGCATAACAAATTCTAACGGACGAAAAAAAAAAAAGGGGGGGGGGTGGGAGGTGAAACAAAACATTTCATGATTGAGATTCAAGTTCAAAGGGAAGGGCGGTTTATTTGTTTAAATATTAAATTTAAACAAAAAAGTTGTCTAATGTTTTATTACATTTTTCTTTCAGTACCGAGGCATTGTTCTCTTGAGCAAAGGGTAACATTTTTACCTTCTTGTTTTTGTCATTACGGAAATTGTTTCTGTAACTATTGTAAACAAAGGGAGAAATCATTTTAAAAATTTAAAGGGAGGTGTGTATTCATTTTTATGTAACGAGAGTATGATTTTTAAAATGTGAGTTTACATATATAAAGTGGTAAACCTAGGGAGTGAGACTGTGTCGACCGCACCAGGAGCACCTTTTTGGTTAATTCTATGTATGGCATCCTTCCGTCTTCGTGAGACGATGGAGTAGCTATTGATACTTCATCAAATGGCTTACGCCTTACGCGGCCGATCTTGGGATGGCAGTCTCGGACTTAGGCTCGGCTGTACTTCTCGCAGGAGGAAAACCTTGACTCCTGGTTAAATTCGGCCTACCATAACGCTCTCTTTGTTGCAAGAGCTTCGTTTCACGCATATTTTTTTCTCCTTCATATACTGCTGTTCGCCAGCTGAAATGGTGTTCAGCGATGATCACCCATTCGTTGATTTCTATGTTGGCTTCCCTCGCGCTCCTTTTGCAAACGTCCGTAAATCGCAGCCGAGGCCGTCCAATAAGTCGTAACCCTTCTACAAACTCCCCATACAGAAGTTTCTTTTCGAATACTGTCTTCTTCCACTCTCCTTACATGGCCTTACTAGTGAATAGCGGAGAACAGGCCACACATTTTGACTCGTTCCAAAACCTCTATGTTAGGCACTCTTTCTGCCATCGAATCCGAAAAATTTGACACATACCTTTTTGCTGGAAGCTGTTGAGTTTTCGCTATGACTGGCACTTCCCTGCCATCTAGGAGCGTACCAAGCACACTTTCCCGATAGACGCTTAGTTTTGTACGTTCAGTTAGTTTAAGATTATTCCACACCCGCGTATTCCATTAGCCAAAATTGCCGCTGCTTTTGTAACTCTGATGTTTACCTCTTCGTCAACGGAAAGTGAAATAGAAATTTGAATCCAAAATATGTGAATTTCTCAGCTACCGTCAGATTATGGTTTAATCGGAAGTGTTTATAAATGTGTGAGGGGCGTGTTAAGGTTGCACAGTTTTGAGAGTTCGGCATAGACGGCGTTTAGCCAAGCAATGTATTTCACTGCATAAATTTTAGTTTAATGATAGGCTATTAAAAATATAGCGCACAGGATCATAGTGGTTATAAAGATTCAAGGAACGAATGGAGAGATAGTTTTCGATAGCTCGGGATAGTCCAAAATATGTAGCTTTTTCTTAAAATGTAAAATAGGTGGTAACTTCTTCTTGTTATATCGCCGAAAGAGGTATCAGCAAATCATATATGGGTTAAGATTTCAATATGTATCAAATTTTTTAATGTTTGTTTGATAGCCGATTTATCAGTCATTTTTAATGGACTTAAAGATTATAAAGGAAAAACTTTAACCGGAAGTTAGCCAGCAACATGACAATGGAGGTAAGCGTATTAAGCGTTTCGAACCCACAATTAGTATAAAAAACGAGAAAGGGGCGATGGAGGAAGGTGTCTGTTTTGGGAGAGATGTGAAAGTGTCTTGGTGAAGAGTGTGATGGCGTTATGGTGGCTCATGTCTTACTTATAATTTAGCCTGAAGATTTAAAAAAAAAAAATCTTAACCCACTGGATTTTTCCACAGATTGATGAAATTAGGATCTTTTCTAAATGTTTTATATATAAGAATAAAATCCATATAAGTCATTCCATGACAAGGGCCTGCTGTCATTTGAGAATTTTGTTTTCGCTGTTTCCACAATTTTATTAAAAAAGACTTCACATTCCAGTTATTTTTTTTTTTACCTATAATTCATTTTTAAATCATATAGATTAACTTCGCTTTCGTTCAAGCTTCCTTGTGGCAAATCTTCGGAAGGCTAATTGACCCACTTCCCGTCATCATATCGAGCTGAAATTCGGCATATAGACTCTTTGCCGATGACAACACATTTTTTTTCAAATTTCGAGCCCCACCAGCACACTCCCCCCACCCTCAAAAAAAGTTATTCCTGCTTTTCAAGGGGAGCAGTCACATAAATGATAAATCACATACAATTACTTAAATGCAAACAAAAATGTATATAAATGATTTATATAAAAAACAAACTTTTTTTTAAGGTTGTTTATATATATATTTATGTCTGCGTACATGACTTGCAGTTTACAAGTGAGACTCCCTCCGAGTTTGGCTGATATGCTTCAAACGCAACAGAGTGACAAGACATGTTCTTGGCCGTAGCATAGGTGGAGAGTGGGGTCGGCAGGAGCAACAATTTCGATCAATTCCAATGGTTTTTTTCCCTCGGAAGAGGGGCGGCAAAATGTTGGCCCGCCCCTAAGGGCATTAACGCTAGCTACAACACTGTTTCATCGTGAATCTTTCTTAAGAAGATATTTTTTAATGAGTGATTAAATCAAAACGACTATAATTAAATCTTTCGCCATACAAGGGGAGAGAAAGAGGGAGTGAGAACGAAAATTGACTTTGATGCTGATAAGATCAACAACCATTTTTGATGAATTTTTCAATGTAATCTTAAGCTATACATGAAACGTAATTCATTCTTTAAATCTTCATCTAAGATTTTAGCTTGCTCCCCTTCCACCCACTATAAAAAAATTCTACCGAGAACCATACTCTAATACAGTACAACACATTTGATACTTTGTGTCAATAGCCCAAGTGCAGAAGACCCGGCTCCATAGAATGCGACACAAGCCTATGAACATTGTGTCTGTAGTCATTTTATCTATACACAGATACACTTGCAACGTTAAATACCTGGCACGGTTTACGAATAGTGGATCCCGGGGGGGGGGGGGTACGTATGGGGGGGGGGGCACACAACCGGTTATTCGATCGGGGTTTGTTTGGGTAATAGAAATCCAACAAGCACTTGTTCTTTGGCTTGACTGTCTCGCCAGAATCAATGGAGCGATCATTTCTTAGTGCGGTTGTATAGAGTAACTTAAGTGACTTGAGTCAAGCCATTCGTCTGATATTGTGTCGTGCGTTGTGTTCAGCATTGCTAGACTCATGATTTATAAGCTAATCAACAGTTTCCAAGATTCAATTATGTATTAATTAAAAATTAATAGGGTAGGACAGATTTGTGGCATGAAATTGAGGCTATGTACTTGGCCGTGGAATTATTATGTGATACAAAAAATTATTAGTGGTATGTATTAACACTTTTTATTTATACTTGCAAGACGTAAGTTATTTAACTGTGTTATCATTAATTGTTGTTGTGATGTTTTTAAATGCGTTAGAAATATATTGAAACTAAAAAATTCAGGTATTTTATTTAAGATTAGCTCTGTTTGTAAAGATAATTTTGATGATAAAACCCAAGAGTAAATACAAGCATTCAGATGACGGAGAACATAACACCGTGTGGGTGTGCGTAACACCGTGTGGGTGTGCGTAACACCGTGTGGGTGTGCGTAGCACCGTGTGGGTATGCGTAGCACCGTGTGGGTGTGCGTAGCACCGTGTGGGTATGCGTGGCACCGTGTGGGTGTGCGTAACACCGTGTGGGTGTGCGTAACACCGTGTGGGTGTGCGTAGCACCGTGTGGGTATGCGTGGCACCGTGTGGGTGTGCGTAACACCGTGTGGGTGTGCGTAACACCGTGTGGGTGCGCGTATCACCGTGTGGGTGTGCGTAACACCGCGTGGGTGTGCGTAACACCGTGTGGGTGTGCGTAACACCGTGTGGGTGTGCGTAGCACCGTGTGGGTATGCGTGGCACCGTGTGGGTGTGCGTAGCACCGTGTGGGTGTGCGTAGCACCGTGTGGGTGTGCGTAGCACCGTGTGGGTGTGCGTAGCACCGTGTGGGTATGCGTAGCACCGTGTGGGTATGCGTGGCACCGTGTGGGTATGCGTGGCACCGTGTGGGTATGCGTGGCACCGTGTGGGTATGCGTAGCACCGTGTGGGTATGCGTGGCACCGTGTGGGTATGCGTGGCACCGTGTGGGTATACGTGGCACCGTGTGGGTATGCGTAGCAGCGTGTGGGTATGCTTGGCACCATGTGGGTATGTGTGGCACCGTGTGGGTATGCGTAGCACCGTGTGGGTATGCGTAGCACCGTGTGGGTATGCTTGGCACCATGTGGGTATGTGTGGCACAGTGTGGGTATGCGTGGCACCGTGTGGGTATGCGTAACACCTTTATAGAGATATTTATTTAACCTTCCCTTTAAGTCAGCATAAGTATAGTAATTCTTAAACATTAGTTTGGTAACTTGGGGTGGTAAAATGAGTCAACTTGGGATGGGAAAGTGAGTCAAGTCCTTTGAAAAGATCTCAAGGAAATGCTCCAAAGTCAACATTTTGTGGCCGTTAATAAAGCAAGTCACGCTCTGGAAGGGGTGAGGGCGTTTAAGAAAATGTGACCTTTTGTGACCCTCGGGGTGGGGGTTGATTTCACACTTTAATTTATTTTTTTTATCTTAGATATAAAACCTGAAATTGACAGAGATGTTTAACTTTCGATGGATTTATTATGAGAGAAGATGTCACTTTTTATAAATGTAATATTTTAAGAGTGAAGTGTGTTTTAGAATAAATTTAAATTATTAAATTACTTGTTATTTTTTAAATCAATTTATTAGCTTGTAAGTGTGACGTAATTTTTGTGATTGTGTGTGTGCGGGTGGGCGCGGGGTTCCAAGATTTATGGCTGTTTGTGACAGCGTGAAAGAAGGGGGGGGGGGGGGTAAAATTGTCCAAAGATAGCGTGATGTAGGTACTCTAATTACTTTACTACTATAACTTTCTTTACATTCAAGTCTCATATTTTGTCTCTCATTCCTAATATTTGTGTTCAATTTAGTTCCCTCTACTTCCTTAGCAATAACTTTCTTAATTGTGTCTTTCTTTTAGCTCCAACTCTCTCTTACTTCGTGACCAATAGAAGTCACACTTTCTTTCTCATTCTTCTCCCCTTGACCACCTTAGCCACCTCACTCTCCTTGACGCTTTCTCCAC